TTTGCTGAAGATTATTCAAAAGCTGCTGCAACAGAATGTCGACAGGGAACTGCCAGAAATTCAGGCCGGATTCAGAAGAGGACAGGGAACCAGGGATATCACTGCTGATGTCAGATGGATCCTGGCTGAAAGCAGGGAATACCAGAAAGATGTTTGCCTGTGTTTTATTTGACTATGCAGAGGCATTTGGTTGTGTGAATCATAACAAATTATAGATAACATTGTGAAGGATGGGAATTCCAGAACACTTAATTGTGCTCATGAGGAACCTGTACATAGATCAAGAGGCAGTTGTTCAGACAGAACAAGGGGATACTTCATGGTTTAAAGTGAGGAAAGATGTGCATCAGGGTTGTATCCTTCCACCATACCTATTCAATCCATATGCTGAGCAAATAATCCAAGAAGCTGGACTATATGAAGCAGAACGGGGCATCAGGATTGGAGGAAGACTCATTAACAACCTGTGATATGCAGATGACACAACCTTGCTTGCTGAAAGTGAAGAAGACTTGAACCACTTACTCGTGAAGATCAAAGACCACAGCCTTCACTGTGGATTACACCTCAACATAAAGAAAACAAAAATCCTCACAACTGGACCAATAAGCAACATCATGATAAATGGAGAAAAGATTGAAGTTGTCAAGGATTTCATTTTACTTGGATCTACAATCAACACTCGTGGAAGCAGCAGTCAGGAAATCAGAAGACGTATTGCATTGGGCAAATCTGCTGCAACAGACCTCTTTAAAGTGTTGAAAAGCAAAGATGTCACCTTGAAGACTAAGGTGCACCTGACCCAAGCCATGGTATTTTCAGTTGTATCATATGCATGCGAAAGCTGGACAGTGAATAAGGAAGACTGAAGAAGAATTGACGCCTTTGAATTGTGGTGTTGGCGAAGAATATTGAATGTACCATGGACTGCCAAAAGAACAAACAAATTTGTCTTGGAAGAAGTACAACCAGAATGCTCCTTAGAAGGAAGAATGGCGAAACTACATCTTACATACTTTGGACATGTTGTCACGAGGGACCAATCCCTGGAGCAGGACATCATGCTTGGTAAAGTAGAGGGTCAGCTAAAAAGAGGAAGACCCTCAAGGAGATGGATTGACAAAGTAGCTGCAACAGTGGGCTCAAGCATAACAAACAATTTTGAGCATGGCACAGGACTGGGCAGTGTTTTGTTCTGTGGTGCATAGGGTCGCTATTAGTCAGAACTGGCTTGATGGCACCTAACAACAACAACATGCGGGAGTCCTGGGTTCAATCCCTATCCAATGCACCTCATGCACAGCCACCACCCATCTGTCAGTGGAGTCTTTCATGTCACCATGATGCTGAACAGTTTTCAGTGGAGCTTCCAGACTAAAGCACACTAGGAAGAAAGGCCTGGTGATCTACTTGTGAAAATCAGCCAGTGAAAACCCTATGGATTACAATGGTCTGTTCCTATCATGCATGGGGTCTCCATGATTTGGTGGCTGATTCGACGGCAGCTAAGAACAATAGGAAGCATACTTGATCTTGAAATGGGTGGAAATGGGTGAAGGTTCTGAAACTTAGCGGGAGACCAAGTATGTTGAATAACAGCCTCACTAAGACACTGTGTTTAGTAAGTAACTAGTACACATTTATTTACTATAAATATAAATGGAGAAAAGAGTAATTTCTGACATATACACTTTTCCAGGGATATTTTAGCAATAACTATCACAATGCATGTTGAGTTCTTGGGTAATCATAAAAAAAAAAAAACAAAAAACTACTGGACATCTTTATCAGTAGAAATCTTTAGCTCCAAAATTCAACTTTGCTATATTTTCTAATAATACTGTAGAGCTAGACTACATGCTGCTGTGAGCATAGCTCTTTTTAGTTTTGATTTTTTTCTTTTTTCACAAGTAATAACTGTTCATAGATAAAAAGATGTGATTTGCAATCACATTACACTAAGACATAAGTTAACATTTTAGTGTATCATATCAAACTCTTCTCTATGCCCTCATATACTCACTCCCCTCCCCCCTCAAGCATGAAATAATGCCATGCATATTATTTTGTAATATGCTTTTTGGTCATTTAACAATATACTGTTAATACTTTTCTATTAGCATAACTTCATCATTGTATTTATTTTCTTGTCCCACTGGAGCAGTGATTTGTTTGGGGATCATCAGGATACTTTATGTGGATTGAGATGTAATTTAGGACATTAAAGAAGTCTAGAAATACATATGCCTCAGAGGGCTTTTAAAATTAATTTATTAAATGTCATTTGCATAACGCACTATACTGTGTGTTTTAGTTATCTAGTGCTGCAATAACAGAAATACCACAAGTGGATGGCTTTAACAAACACAGATTTATTCTCTCACAGTTTAGGAGGCCAGAAGTCTGAATTCAGAGTGCCAGTTCCAGGGGATGGCTTTCTCTTTCTGTTGATTCTGGGGGAAGGTCCTTGTCATCAGTCTTCCCCTGTTCCAAAGCTTCTCAGCACGGGGACCCCAGGTCCAAAGGATACGCTCCGCTCCTGGCTCTTTTTGCTTGGTGTTAATGAGGTCCCTCTCCTCTCTGCTCACCTCTCTTTTATATTTCAAAAGAGATGACTCAAGATACAACCTAACCCTGTAGGTTGTGTCTTGCCTCATTCACATAACCGCCTCTAATCCTACCTCGTTAACATAATGGACAGTTTATTCCCAAATAGAAATATAACCACTGGATTTACAACACATAGGATAATTACATCAGATCACAAAATGGAGGACAACGACACAATACTGGGAATCATGGCCTAGCTAACTTGACACATATTTTAGGGGGGCACAATTCAATCCATGACACTGTGCCCCATGCAGAATAGATGCAGCAGAGAGGTAACCATTGTAGTAGCTTAGATGTGTTTGAGGTAGTGTATTTCCTTTGTGCCTGCAGGAGTGCCTGGTAGTAGATAGAGGCTCAGGAAAATTTGTGGAATGAATTTAAGTGGAACTGTAGCTTTGTATTTTACTTAATACTAGCACCCTCCCCCTATTCCATGCAATGCTTGGTAGAATCATTAACAATAAATAAATGCACTGCCACTCGGGCTCACAATGGAGCATGCCAGATAAAACTGCCTGTGTGAGAAGCAGCTCAACTGTTAATAAGTGCATGAAATTTGGAAAGTATGTCTTGAGATTTGGGGCATATACTTGAAAACTTTTTATCTCTGTGCCATGTCTTAATATGGTTAGCATGCTTCTCCTGATAGGTGGTCACCTGGGCCTTTGATGCCTCTGTTTCAGGAGCTCTGGAGAATGACAGCTCATTTCCTTGAGATGCCTCCTAATAGTTGCCTCCACCCCCATTTTGTTAAGTCAGACAATTCCAAATATACAATCCAAATCTGCTGACACAGTAACAGATAGAAACCCAATTTATTTGCATATTTCAATCTAAAGTTTATGTTAGTTCAACCTTTTCCATCTAGTGCGGAGGTTGTCAGATGTCTGTTGTGGGCCAGATCAGGCCCATGGCTTGTGTTTTGTATGGCCCACAAATTAAGAATGTATTGTACATTTTTAAAGGTTGTTAAAAAAAAGAAAGTAAAGAAGAGCATGTGACGGAGACAGTATGTGGCCCACACATCCTAAAATATTTTCTATCTGACCTTTTATAGAAAAAATTTTTAGTGACTCTGTCACCCCACCCCTGATTGAGAGTGTTATTTTATTACATTAGGTGTGTGTGAATAGATCTAAATCTGTGTCAGCATGGCAATTAAAAAAAAAAAAATTGGTTAGTTATTAGGCACCTGAATGTGTTCAAGAATTACTGTAATGAATTTTTATGTGGCCTAGTGAAATTTTGTGATGACTTAAAAAAGGCTTTAAAAGGTATATATAATTGAATTTTGAAAAGAATTTTAAGATTAAGATTTACAGTGGTTCAGTGTCCTGTCCCCCACGTGTCTGTCAGTTTGTCATACTGTGGGGGCTTTCATGTTGCTGTGATGGTGGAAGCTATGCCACTGATATTCAGATACCAGCAGGGTCACCCATGGTGGACAGGTTTCAGCAGAGCTTCCAGACTAAGAGAAACTAGGAAGAAGGACCCGGCAGTCTACTTCTGAAAAGAATTAGCCAGTGAAAACATTATGAATAGTAGCAGAATATTGTCTGATACAGTGCTGGAAGATGAGCCCCCCAGGTTGGAAGGCACTCAAAAGACCGTCAACGAGATGGATTGACACAGTGGCTGCAATAATGGTCTCAAGCATAACAATGATTGTGAGGATGACACAGGACTGGGCAGTGTTTCATTCTGTGATGCATAGGGTTGCTATGAGTCGGAACTGACTCGACGGCACCTAACAGCAACAACAGTGTCCTCCAGTGCCGATGGCAGTGGTCTGACATCAAAACCTGGTTCTGTTTAATGTTTTCTGAAAACAATAATTCATTAAATACATTTAGAACTCTTGGGAAAGAAAGCATCTGAGGAATCTGAAAGCATGGCAGAATCAGGATTACATGTATTAAGTGCCTGTATGTTTGTATTGTAATGAGGAATATTATATAATAAGGACTGAGAGTGGTAAAGACTTTGTATGTTGTTTTTTGTAAAGGTTTTAAAAGATGTTTTAAAATATATTTTGTGTATTTATATTCTAATTTACTACCTAAACTTCTGAGAATATATTTGGACAGATTATGTAGCCAAGCTATTTCTTACATTTAAAGTAAGCTGAATCCATTTAATATCATGACAAACTTACTGGAAAACTTAATAGCCATTGTTTTATTGGCAGTAATTCCTCAAGTAGTTGCCCAAGGCTTTTATGTTTATCTACTTCTGCTTCATCTGTCCTGTGATTTTCTTCTGGATTATTAGAAAATGAGGATCAATTTTGTTTACTGAAATTAAAAGAACAATTCCATCATGTGGGGATTTGTTGACATTTTGGAAGTCCCTTAAGAAGTCTGACTCATCTTCACCTCTTCCTTCAGCTTGCAGCTGTTTGTGATGTGTTCGTGGAAAACTATGTCCCTGGCAAACTGTCTGAAATGGGCCTGGGATATGAAGATATAGACACGATTGCTCCTCACATCATCTATTGTTCCATAACAGGTATTTCAACCCCACACCCTCATCAGTGAGTAGGTTTTCCACTTTCTGTGTTTCTTTATGTAAGAAACCTCTTCCTGGTGTTGGTTTTCCTTAACTGATTCTGTTCCCCTCCACCCAAACCATGTTAGGTTACTGACCATTAACCATTAATGAACATTTTTCATGGATTTCATGTCTTTATTGGTTATTTATATTTCTTCTGTGAATTGTCTGTCTATAGTTTTTGCCAATTTTTCTACTGATGTTTTATTATTTTTCTTATTTATTTGTATAGACTCTTCATCTATTAAATTCATTGACTCAATCATGTTTATTGCAAATAACTTTTGTGAGTTTATGATCTCTTGACCCATGGAAGTCTAAGTTTTTATGTTGTACATCTAGTAATCTCTTTCCTTTTACTTTCTTCATGCATTTAAGGTTAGAAAATCCTTCTCATCCAGAGATCCCTAAGTATTTTCCATAGTCTAGATTTTTAATGTATTTTATTTAATTGCTTTAATTTTTCATCGATCCATTTAGGGTCTCTTATGCACGGTATAAGAAGTAACGGAGTGAATCATATAGATGTTGGCTAAGAGAGCTTCAGACAGGTGGAATAGTGCAAAGGACTTGAGATCGGAGAGTGCTGAGCATGCTTGAAGACCAGCAAGGATGCCAGTATGATTGAAGTAGAGTGAATGAGGGGGATGTAATAGGAAGAAAATCAGGGTGAGATTGGTGAGCAAGATCTTAAAAAGCCCTGTGGGGCTACTCTTAAGGAATTTGACTTTTGAGTACAATTATAAACGAATGGAAGGTTTTGAGCAGAGGAGTGATATGATCTGACATATTTTAAAAAGGATCACTCTAGCTATTGTGTTGAAAAGAGACTGTAGAGAGCAAGGGTGGAAGCAGAAGAACAATTAGAAAGCTGTTGAAACATTCCAGGCTAGAGATGGTGGTGGCCGAATTAGGGTAGTAGTGGTGGAGGTAGTTGAAGAGTGGTAGGATTCTGAATATATTTCCAAGGCAAGTAGATTATATGTGTCAGAGAAAGAGTGGAGTTAAAGATGACTCCAAGGTTTTGGCCTGAGTAATTAGAAGAATGGAATTGCTACTTACTGAGGTGGGCAAGACTGTGGAAAGAAGTTTTGGTAGGAAAAATACCAAGAATCTGATTTTGGACGTGCCTAGCTTGAGATGCCTGTTAGACATCCAAGTGAAGATGTAAGTAAGGGGTTGGATCTAGGAATCAGGAGTTCAGGGAGGATGTAAAGTTTGATAGTTATGAGTGGATGGATGGTGTTTGAAGCCTGTGAGATCACCTGGAGAGTGACTATAGGTAGAGAAAGGAGTGTCTGAGGGGCTGAGCCCGAGGCACTCCTATGACTAGATGTTTGGAAGATGACAAGGACACAGTGAAGGAGATTGAGGAGGAATTGTCAGTGAGGTGGAAGGCGAACCTCTCAGAAGCCAAGTGAAGAACATGTTTATATTCATTGATAATTTCATTGTCTTAGTTTTTTTAATAAAAAGCATAATGCATATATTGACTACTATTATAGGGAAACCTTGATTAACTTAGATTTCTTATATTCCTTAAAATCTCTATGCTTTCTCTTATCTGAGAACCTTTGCACATGATGTTCCCACTGCTTGGAACATTCCCCCTGTACCACATCTGGCTACTTTCATTGTCCTTTAGGTCTCAGCTTGCATGCCATTACTTCTGGGTAGCCTTTCTTAGCCTCTGAGGATTGGGTTGAGTGTTGTCCCATTTGCCTGTCTCCCTGACTAGTCTGCAGGCTCTTGTTCTGTTCCCAGCTCCAACCATAGTGCAGACCACGTGATGGGGCTCAGCTGCAGTTTCTTGAATCAATGAATGCATAACCAGAACTTGACTAAAGAGTTTTTAACAGTTGCCATTTTTTCTGCATTTCGCTTTTTGGAGAAAAGGGGAGCAGTAAGTTATAACATTTTCTAAAGAAACTTTCAGAGCATAGCCTGGGGTTGGTACATACTTAGCCTAATCTGTTATCTCTTCTACAGTTTATCCATAGTTCATTCATAGCTAATTATTGCTTTGAAGTATCAAAGGACTTTGTACCATTAAATAATTATTCAGTGATTGTCGTTAAGTCTTTATGCTTTAGGTCTCTTCCTAATGCAGGGAGGAGAGCAAGTACATTTAAAAAGATTAAAAAAAAAAAAAGAATTGAGTGAAACTTTTCTTCTTATATTACAGCAAGTTAATCTTAAAATAGGTATGTGAAAATCTTATTTTACTGTAAAAGTCAGTAAAAATTTGTTTTTAAAATACTTATTATTCATAAAATGATAATAATCAAAATATTCCTATTTCTGTACATTCAGGTTAACTGAGATATTGAAATACTTTGTCCATGACACATTACCTTAGTACAAATAGTGTAGGTTTTCAAAGTGTAATAATCTCGGGGATGGTATCTTCCATGTAAAGCAAGCTGTGACTGCGGTGTTCTGCTGATTGTTATTGCTTTAGATGGGACAAAGAGCTCAAGTGCTCATTAACTTCTCTACTGGACCAAGATGAGAGACATGTTCTATAAATGGTAGATGACTCGATGACTCTTTGCCACTAGATCTGACTCTTTTTCAGATATACTATTTTATAGATCTGTAATCAGATTTTCATTTTTATCTTTGTATATGTGAGAGAAGAGTTTTTTTCTTAGAATCTCAGAATCCAATGGAAAAGTTGGGATCTAAAATATTTAAATAGGTAAAATATTATCTCCTGTATTCTATTACCATAAAATGCTACATAACAAACACAAAATCTTGTATTACAATACATATTTATTTCTCATTTCAGTTTCTGTGGGTCAGCTGAGATTCAGCTGATCTAGAGTGGGCTCAGCTAGATTTGACTCCAAGTTGCAGGTTGGGTCCTGGTGTGCTCTGTATATCTCTTTTCCTCCTTGGTCCAGGGACTACCAAACACATGTTCTTCTCATAGTGAAAGACAAGAGTTGAAGAGAACAAGCACACGTGCTCACATCACATCTGCAACATCCCTTTGGTCAAAGCAAGTTATGTGGCCAAGCTCTATACCAACAGGTGATGAAATATGTTCCACTGTAGTGGGAGGAACTACAGTCACATGGCAAAGGGCATGGAGTCTGAGAAGGATGAAGACTGGGAATAATAATGCGTTTTACTGCATCACCTACCCAAATAAAATGCTAATCCAATTAGGAAGCCTCCCACTCCCCAAAGTGTCACATCTATAACAAACTATGGGTATGGTCAAAACTTCTTCTGGGCCTCGGCTTGTGATTGGAGACTCTCCTTCCAGTTTCTCCAAAATTTTTTTCTGAAAAAATTCCAGAACTGGAATTTTCTTCTAGTTCTCAGATCCTGTGCAGCATTTTAGGGCCCCTGGTGGTGCAGCATTTTAATGTGACAAAGGGCCCTGGTGATAGGTTATATAATTCAGTAGTTCTCAGCTAAGGGGAGAGGGAGTGTTTCATATGCTTTCCAGTGATGGGGTACGTGGCATTAGGGGCTGGTGGGGAGAGGCATGTGGAGTCTAAGGAGCACCTCTCATTATTCTGTATTTCTCTCCATCCCCACCTCCCACAATCATTAGAAAAACACTGATACAGTTTATTCTTTATTTTCTGGCAAGGAAATGGATCCAGAATAGCTGGATCTGTCTCAGGTCATACAGAGATATGTCTAAGGTCATACACCTATTGAAGTGGCAGGTGGGATTATAATTCAGGCTTCCTGACTCAATATTATGTGGCTGTATGCTTTCCATATTCAGCATATTCAGAAATCTGTTAAGTGCAACATGGATTCTGTGATTATAAGACACAGGACAGCTTTACTTGAGAATAATACATTTTGCTATTCTCTTTTAGTTTTTGTTAATTGTATTTGCAATGATGGAAGTCATAAACAGATTTACTAGTCAAGGATTCTAAATTTCAGAGGATTTTTCTAGAAGCAGTGGTCATTTATGTGTCATGAGTTTGTGTGTATACAAAGCAAGGCCCAACCCTTTTTAGAAGTTTAATATTCTTGGTAATCAGTGTTTAGTCTTTTTTATTTCTTAATAAGACTGATTCGATCAGCCTGAAGTTGCGCATGTTGTGATTGGTATCCTAGAATTTCCTGCTGTTTCCCAGTGGTACTGGTGTCTTATCAGCACTGTCCAAGCCCGAATTATCTGTTCTCACTCACATGTTGGCTTTATTGCTGATGAGAGTGATCTTAGAACTGCTGGAAGATTTACTTTAATGCACTCTGACAGTTGTGTGGTTGAGATTTCCTCAGTGTATGAAGTCTGGTCCACAGGACAAAAATGCTAGACTGATCAAAAGGGAGGAAGAACCCAATTCTTTTTATTAGCATGGTCCTATTATTTCAGAGGAAGCTGAGGATGAACATTAGAGGGCAGTGTTTAAAAAGCTACAGTTCACTAGGACTTACTTTTTGAGAAAACTGCAGTGTTTCCTGTGTACCATGGGCTAAATAGACTCTAAAGGGACATATTTGTATTTTTAAAGAAAATTTTTTTTTTTTTAAAGTTACCACCACTCTTTACCTCTCTATAATTTGAGAAGTACAGTGGTATTTTCCCTAACGATTTAATTTTATGTTTAAATTGTACTTTCTTTACTTTGTATCTTCTGAACATGTTACTGATTATAAAAATTTAGAATTAAAATCCTCTACACCACATTTAAAAAGGAGCCTTGGTGGCACAATGGTTAAGCACTTGGCTGCTAACTGAAAGGTTGGCAATTTGAACCCACCAGCGGCTCCTCGGGAAAGAAGACCTGATGATCTGCTCCCGTAAAGATTACAGCCTTGGAAACCCTATGGGGCAGTTCTACTCTGTACTATAGGGTCACTGTGAGTTGGAATCGACTGGATGGCACACAGCCACTACCACATTTGAAATATTTTTCTTCTCTTTGTTAACTTCATTGCTCTTTATTTCTGAGAGGGTAAACATTGTATCATTA